GAGGGGGCAGGGGTGGGGAAGTGATTATGCAGCAGCCGTGGAGCGTTATCATTGGAGGCCGGAGTAGCCGAGGGGGGTGGGGAAGTGATTATGCAGCAGCCGTGGAGCGTTATCATTGCAAAAACATACGAAACGTGGAAAGGAGAAGCCCGACTTCACGTCAAGCCTCCCGTTGTCTCTTACTCCCGTCTCAGCGCCCGGCATCCCGCCCGGATCTCGTCTGGAGGCTGCGAGTGCAGCCCACCGTGCGCGCGGTATTCCAAGGAGAACTGATACTCGAAAATGAAGAGAATAATAAACAACAAGACGCGATTGGTTTGAAGCTCCGCGGGTCGGGATCGCGCCCCGCCGCCTTGCCTGCCCATCCCATGCCCCCGCGCCCTCCGGAGCGTCAATGCACTCGTGTGATGCGATGATATGAGATCGCGAGAGGCTGGTTCCCGTCGGGTTGTCGTCCGGTCCACCTCGCTGCTAATCCAGGGTTGGCGGCCGTTGCCTCACCTCTCAACGCGTCCTGCTGCGGCGTGCCATTCTGGAAACGGACGCGAGCGCGCAAAAAAACACAAAATAACACCGCAAATCCAACGCAACAGCGCTTTGTGAAAAAAAAGGTAAAAAATAGGTGATCCCATTATGCCATTGCTCGCCACCGTCTGATGGCAAAAGGGGCCATTAATTTCGACTTCGGACCCGCTTCTCTTTCCTGAGTCGATATGCGCTCAGACTTTCCATTGCTGAGAAAAATGTGTGGATCGTTGTTTTGTGAGGTTCGACGCTTTCGGTCACCGACCATCAGGGGCACAAGAAGGCCGCCCTCCTGAGCAGTAGGTACCCCCCCTCCCCCCAATCACAACAACACACCACAGCACCGAGCCACTCCGAGCGCTATGAATCTTGATGGCCGCATGCCAGGCTGGGGGGCAGGCGCGCCTAGGCAGGCGCCGTCCGGCACGGTACACCCACTGTCACTGACATTGTGATAAAATTCGCACATTTTTGTGTTACGAAAGCCCGATTAATTCCCATGATTTATTGCATGTGAAAGTGCGATAAAGAACACACCATCTGAGCGGTGCTTTATTGCACAAAAAATGCGATGCTTCCAGATTTTTTCTTTTTACAAAAGCAAACATAATGGCGATGATCGTTGACAACAAGGCAATAAGTCCGAGTATCACACAAAATGAGAGATGATCACCCCACAAAAATGGTGCGTGCAATATGAATTTATTATTGCTCTATTTTTGCAATCACTGTGACAAAAAGTAGGAAGGTTGACAGGAAAATTTTCCTTGCAAGTTGTAAAATTACAATTTGGAATCGTGAAAATACATGCAGTATGTATCGACTTCAAATCCCTTGGCGAGTAAAAAATGTGCTATCGTAAATTTACAACTTAAGTTATAATTCAAGTTTACAAAATTTTTGTAAATTTACGACGATATTTTTCACAGTGAATAATTATCAAAGAATAATTGTGCAATTCTTAGAGGGTCAGAAAAAATATTGACAGTGTCGCGGTGGTCAGATCTG